CCGTCTTTGTCTCTCTCTGCTGAACCTGTGTGCCTTCTAGCAAATGAAAACAAAAGCCATCCCTGAAAGTACAGGCCTTAAACGTGGGGGTCTCCATTAGCCGTCCATGTCCCGTACACCGCTGGTCATGTGACTGTCAGTCTCTCTCCGCAGAAACTTCAGCCTATCTAGAAGAAGGTCTTGTTAAATTGGAGGTTGTGGGGGCCGGCAGGTGGCGTGGTTAAGGCACTCGATTCCCATGTGGCTGACCACAGTTCAATTCCCAGACCTGGAGGCTTGCTTTCTTTCCATTTCTCTCTGTCTCCCACTAGTCAGATTAAACAAATGATGATGATGATAAATTAAGTAAAATAATTCTTTAAAAAACGGGGAGATTTTTACATTATTTTGAACGGAAGGCCTAAGAGCTTGAGTGGCTTAGCCCTTCAGAGGGACTCCCCAGACCTACTGTGTTGAGTTCTTGGAGCCTTGCTGTCGGTGGGGTTGTTCTTTTCCAGAGAAACACTGGGTGTGGTCTACCTTCTCCCTTAAAAAGGGAGGCGTCCTCAAGACTGAACAGAGTCCCTGTACACATTCTGCTGCTTACTAATCAAGTTCACTTTAACGAGAGGTTTGTAAATGCTAGAGGGTGCACGCATGCATACGCGTGAGCGAGTGAGAGTCAGAGCGCCCTCCAGTGGGGCCTGGCCGCACTGCAGTCTCCTCTTCTCAGTCTGCCCCTTCAGGACCCAGCGCACATGTGTCCGCATGGAGCATCAGGGCCGGGATGCAAACCCCGGCTGGGCCCTGGGCCTGGCTTCTGTGTGGTGCCTGCCCACATTGTAGGGTTGGCCCTGACGCTCACTTTTGGTGGACACATTAAAACGGTTTTTGAAAAGACAACTTCAGGAGCCAGCAGGTGGCATGATAGTTAAGATGCTGGACTCCCACACAGCTGACCCTGCTTTGAATCCTGGACTCAATAGCTTGAAAATCATGCTGGGTATGTGTGTGCACACACCCCAAATCCCAGGAGAATGGAGAAGGGATTGTGGTGTGACCATCCCTCCAGGGAGCAATTTTTCACTCTCCCTTTCATTCTTTTTTGTCTCTCCAGAGAGTACATACACTATGGCAAAAATCTGAAAGAAAAAAGAACTTCAGAACTTTAGTTAGCCTTAGGGTACGTGTACTGGCAGGGTGGGGTAGGGGGCATGGCCATACCACAATCCCGTTTTCTCCATTCTTTTCCCGGGATCTTGGGCACACAAGCCCAGTATGAGTTTAAAGCCACTGGGTCTGGGACTTGAACCGCAGTTGGCCATGTGGGAGTCCAGTGATACAACCACCAGACTGTGTGGTGCTGGCCCCAACTTCAGAACTTTAAAAAAAAAATTGTGCTACTGGAAATAAATTAGTTTTACTTAGAAAATACTTTCGTGCCAGGGCCAGGACTCGAACTGCAGTCAGTCACGTGGGAGTCAGCGCCTTTAACTGCCATGCCACCTGCCAGCCCCAGTAAACACATTGCTTACTAAAATTGTTTTACGATCAAAGGTATTTTTTTAATTTATTTTTTGTTATTATTATTATTTTTTAATTTGACCAGAGACAGACAGAGAGAGGAAAGGGAAAGTGAGAAAGCAAGCTGCCAGGTCCAGAACTTGAACTGTGGTCAGCTGTATGGGGGGCTAACATCCCAGTCACTGCATCACCTGCCGGCCCCCCACGATCAAAGTTTTTAATGGAATGGAACCACAAGTGGGTCACTTCTCGTGGGTGTGCAGGAGTTAACCCTTCACTAGTCACTAGCCACTGTCTGAATACTGAAAGCTAGTACGGTTTTGTGGAATTTCGCCTTTCTTTTGTCTTTAGCCACTGTCTGAATACTGAAAGCTAGTACACCCTAGTCTTATGACGATAAACAAGTCTTTTGCTAGATAATTTAGGATAGCCATACACAAGAGAAAACTTTTATTAAAGAATTTAATTTTATTCATTATTATTTTTAATTTGACCAAAGAGAGAGGGAAAGTGAAAAATAAGCTACCAGGCCCAGGACTTGAACCATGGTCGGCTTGGTGGGAGTCCAGCACCTTAACCACCATGCCACCTGGTGGCCCCCAGGAAACAAAATTTTAAGTATCTACTAAGTATCTGTATTCAACACATAAACAAGAAAAGGCCAGTTTTATTCTAAAATAAAGATAATATTTATTATCCCAAGTGGCATAAAAACACAGCTTTTACAAAAGTGATTTTTGATAGAAAAATACTCGACTGTATTGTGGTATTTTAGGAACACCATACCATTGCTGGCCCTCCAGCTAAAGCTTCAGAGAAACTGCATTCCTCGTAATCAGAGTAGCCAGTATTTACCCGTCTTTGGGAACAGGTCCGCAGTGTCTTCTGAACACACCGAGCATCACTCATGTCACGGCCCTGCGCCTGCCCCACGTGTGCGTTTCACAGCCACACACACACACACACACACACACACACACACACACACCCCGGCAGCAGGAGGGGCCTGGGTTAGCCCGCCTTCCTGTGGCCCACTAGGGGCCTGGGTTAGCCCGCCTTCCTGTGGCCGAGGGGAGACTGAGGCCAGAGGGCCGAGCGCTGTCTCCAGGGCTCCTGAGCCCTCCCAGAGCCCTTTCGGGAGCGCCTACACTAGCAAGTGAGCAGACTTGGCGGCCCTCTGCTCTGTGCCTACGATGGCACGGAATAGCGCCGTCCCTGTCCCCGGCCACGTCTGCACAGCGCGGGCCCAGCCTCATGTCTGCTCGCACACGGGGTGGGAAGTCACAGCCCTTCCCTACCTGTGTCCTGTCGCATAAGCTAGCCTTACAGGCGACCGTCCCTTGAGAGAACTGACCGATTTCTTTTCTTTGACAGACTCCATGACAGTTCAAAAGGTAAAGGGATTTCTGTCACGTCTTCTCAAAGTCCCTGCGTCAGAACTTGTGTTGTCCTACGAGAGTCCCAAGGTAAGGGGCCCGGGAAAGCAGTCAGGTGCAGCCCCCAGGACGGCTGTGGGCTGTCGGGGCCAGACGGGGACCATTGGCTGCATGACTTCAAGGGGGGGCAGGAAGAGTGGGCTAACATGTCCCATCTGTCTCCCACCCGCCTCTTCTACCTTCAGATGCCAGGCAGAGAGATTGACCTGGAGAATGACCTCCAATCGCTCCAGTTTTACTCTGTGGAAAGCGGAGACTGCCTGTTGGTGCGGTGGTAGCGACGCGGACCGCCGCCAGGACTGGGGACGGGGCAACTGGGGCAGCCCAGCAGCGTTCCCGTAAGGTGGCAAGGGGAGGCGCCCCAGGCTGGCACGAACAGCGGTAATAAAGGCTCTGAACCGCCAGTGGTTCCGGTCTGCCTCCTATTCTCAGTTCCTCACGCATTTTCTTAGTGAAGACTTAAATGCCAAGTAGAAACTAGTCTAGTAGGACCCCCACAGTTTATGTCTGCCGTAAGACTAGCTTTACTGAAATTCTGTACTGATACCATTTTGAAGGTTACTAACATGGTTTGGCTGGTCATCTGGGGAAATGACCCTGAACTCCAGGGGACGCATCCTCCCCTCGGCTGCCGTCCCCGTACACCCAGACCGAGCACACGTTCCACGCAAGGCCTGCGGCTCTGAAACGCACTCGTGCAGGGGAAATGTTAGCCCCCGGCAGGAGGGAAGCAGAGCTGCTCTTCGGAAGTGCCCACGGTTTATCAGGCGACTTAGTGATGGCACTAGGACCTCAGAGACTTCTCACGTGCACACTCACACAAACTTAGCTTTTATAACCTGCAGGACGGATGTCAACTGACAGAAGAAAACAGCTATTACTCTGTTAGATAAAAGAACTTTAGGACCAAGGTTGCAGTAAGAATTTTACCAGTTCCTTTTCAAGTTCAAGTTGCCCATGTCATTCAGAGAGAGACCCACAGAATCTGGTGCTCCCAGAGAGCCGCGAGCTTTGCTGTGACCCTACAGGACCTTGTATTCCTGGAAGCTTTCTGGCCTGAAACTACCCTCTCAAGAACACAGACTGCTCTGACTCCAGCTCGAATCCAGACTCAGTTACAACCCAAGACTTCTGAGCTGGGCCAAGTTTTAACAAAAAATGATGTGTTACTAGTGACACGTCACGGTTTAGAAATATTTTATAAAACGATTTGGTATTTTCAAATCTACCTCCAGTATATAAATAAGAACTTGTGATGCTACAGTGTAAGCTGATGTGTAGAAAGATCTGCAGTTGCCCACCCCACGCTGGTCACAGGCCAGGTGCTAGGGGGGACCTCTCCCGACAGCCCCAGTCAGCGAGCGCCGACCTGGGCCCCTCCAGCTGGCCCTGCCCACCCTGGCCTGTGAACAGCTGCCGTGGCTGCAGCTAGCTGGCCTGACAATGGCAGGGGTTGCCACACCGGGCCTTGAGCTCCCACAGGCGCCTCAGCTCCAGCGGGGAGTGCTGCGGGGAGGACAGCATGCCCGTCGTGCAGGTCTTCTCACACAGCCAGAGACTGTCCTGCGGGGACAAGACCGAGGTACCGTGAGCACTGCGGACCGGCACATGCGGCTTCTACGACCCTGGCGCGGTGGGGCTACTTCAGGACAACTGGCGCTTGAGAGGTCCCGGGGTGGGGCCTTCTGTCCAGGCTGAGCGGCCCGGAAACCACATGCTCTGGCCTGGGTGGCGGTGGCGTCTGCAGGGAGAGCCCAACGACCATGAGGAGAGCTTCGTGCCTGCTCTGAGGACAGCTGAGCGGCTGCAGGGTCGATGCCAGCCTGGGTCCCCATGGAGGCTTGTGTCCTGGGCCTGACCCACCTCACGCTTCCCCTGACCCGGCGAGGCAGAATCACGTCTCCTTTACAAAGAACTGAAACTGAGTTGCGAAGCGTGCTCAAGGTCACAGTGTTAGCAAGGTAAGCAGGAGGGACCGGAGCCCGTGCCAGCCCCGAGCTGCCCTGCAGACTCGACCTGGCTGTGACCAGCAGTGCAGCGAACACGGGAACCCAGTCAGGAGAGCACGTGTGACGCCCGCTGAAGGCGGGCCGTGCCGTCACCAGAGGAGGCTGAGCATGGAGAGCTCTGGGGCTGGCAGGTGCCTCGAAGGCCCCTGGGACGGGGTGCTGGTCAGAGACCACCCCAGAGCACTGGCCCCAGAAGGGCCATGCCCTGGAAGTCTGCAGGCACCATCTGTCCCCGAGCACCCACACGGGAACGTGTCCTGGGGGAGCCTCGGTCCCAGTGACACGAGTGCGCAGTGAGAAGAGACCTCGGCCTGTCAAGAGAAGGTCCAGAGGCAGCCGTGTGCAGCAACAGACAGTCAGACCAGCAGCCCCGGCGACCCAGACTTGCCGGCAAGGAGGCGCCATGTTCTGTGTCGGGAAGGCAGAGGCGGCTGTGGGCATGGCCAGGAGCCAGCCCAGCAAGGCTGAGGGTGGAGGGCGACGTCCTATACATCCTGAACCCACGGTGTGCGGCCCGGCCTGCTTCACGTGGCCCCTGGCCACAGGCCCTGCGTGTTCCTTCTGTCCCCTGCCCTCCGCAGCCACAGTGAGGCGGCAGGCCCTCCGAGGCAGACGTCAGCTCTGCCTTCATCCCGGGGCACCCACTTTCCACTCTGGTCTTTGCAGGCCCGCCTTCCCCTGGCTCGCCAACTAGTGTGTTTTCAGTGATGTCTCCGATACCTCACACAGCGATTCTGCTTTCTGGGGTGCGTGTGTGGTTTTAGACAGTCTCATGGTGTCACAGTCCTCCTGCCTCACCCTCAGCAACAGCTGGGACCACGGGCACAGCCGCCAGGCCCAGTGCCTTCCCAGACAGGCTCTTACTGTGTTGCCCGGGCCGGCCCCAAGCCCAAGGAGCGAGGACCACAGACGTCCCCACCGTACCGGGCTCTGAGAACGAGGGCCAGGAGTCAAGCCGGGCCTCCCTCGGTAGTGCCCACAGCATGCGCTCTCAAGAACTGCACCAGCTGGGAGCTCGGAGGCTCCTCAGAGCTGCGCCACGAGAAACTCGGGCCCTGGGTTGGTCACTGCATTTACAGCTGCAGAGGATCCCTGACAAGTTCTATGGAGACCTCGTTTTTCTTGTGGGTAGGGGACTGGTTCGTAACATTTCCTTTGAGCTTAAGCTCGGAAAAACACCACGTGAGAAATACCTTAGGTGGATTATTACTGACTTAGAAGCACATTACTTACACAGAAATCCAGGGTGGGCCACCCCCACAGTCTGGTGGTTAAGGTATGGGAGTGGATTCCATATGGACCACCACGGCTCAAATTCCGCCCCCAAGCCCCGACGTGATGGGGAAACAGAAGGGACTCCGGCATCGCCACACCTCACTGGAGGCTCTCTCCCACCTCCCCTCTCCCTTTGGAGTGAAATAAAACAAAACAAAAAGGAATCTTCCCCTCTTAAGAATCCTGAGGCCAGCTTCCCTCAGACTGCTTACCTGGTATTTCCTAGGTCCTATGGCTGCCATCCAAATGCCCATGCTCACGTCTTCACCCTGCACATGCCCGTCAAGTTCAAATGCATTTGTAAAGGCAATGCCACCCCAGCCCCGTGGTGACCAGTCTTTTTACGTGGCTGTTACTGTAACATGCAATGCCAAACGTGGACCAGCACCGACACACAGGGAAAGTGGGTGCCCGGTGCCACACACCCTCAGCACAGGCCCTGGGGGGTGACAGCGAGCAGACAGCCCACTCTGCACTCCGCCTTCAGCCTCTGGCACCGACAGTGTGACGGGCACAGTGGCACCGGCGAGCAGGCACAGCGTGTCCCACACGCTCCTGGCGGCAACAGGCG